ATACCGGAAGCTATTTTTTTCCTTCAGATGAAACATTCCGCAGAGAATGCATCAAATTCATATTTGGTATATATTTTATGGTAAATGTTGTAACATATATGGATTTTATGTCTGTAATTAGGTAACGACTTTTATGATATCAGATTAAAAAATGCATCAAAAGTTGTATTGTAATGTTGTCTAGTTGAGAAATATTTCGAGTTTATAAGCTTTGCGGAACTGTTTGAGAAACAATTGAATGTTATTTACAAAAAAGTGTAGTCTACATCAATGGGAAAGAAACTTTGAAATCCCAAACACTGGTACGGAAATAATATAATAAATGAACATTACACACAAAACATGCAAACAAGTCCGGAAAAATAGCTAAAAAACATCATTCACTTTTGCGTAAGGGAAGAAAAAAATGAATACTAGGCACTAGGGAAAGTTTGCTTAAACCACAATGTTTATAATCATGTTTTCATTTTTTCGTGTATTTTTTTCTCGGTTTTTCGTTCGGAAGTTTAAAACAATGAAAACATGCCCTTATGTTAAGATTAGCGTCTAAAGAAAAGGCAATAAACGCAGCCTAACAGCTAACTAAAGAAACAATGTTTCTTATTGAATTTTACGTGATAAACGTTTGGTTGATTTTAATTTCGTATTATGCTGTATTGTTTTGCGACGCGTTGTCGTAAATGTTGCTGGTACCATGTGACTAGGAATGGGACGATCGTTTATTTAAATGAGGTGCAAATGCACATGCATGAATACATCTTGCACAGCCATTCTACAATGTCACGTCAGTGTGTGTGTGTGTGTGCGCGTATATAAATGCTAGGCTTGGTAGTCGACATCGTCGTCGTCACTGTCGCGCGCGTTGGGCGTGCGAACAAAGTAAATGTGAATCACCAACCAAACCCACTTCATTAAATAGCAATAAAAAGTCAAGCGCCGAACAAAACAACCATTAAAAATAATGAACGAAATGTGTTGCACACACACTCATTCGTTTTCGAATGAAAAAAAAAAAAATGTGTGTGATGATGAAGACGATGGCAGCGGCAACAGCGACGACGGCTATAAGAAGGCATTTTTCCCATTCAATGCTATCATTACACAAGGATCTCAGGCTAAGCTTTCACACCCATCAACTTCGCGCGCTCAACAATGCACAATCTCTTTCTTTCTCGCTCAATCCGATGGGCACGATGTTTATATTCACACAAAACGCTTAATATTTGAACATGCAAATGCAATAGACTTAAACGATATTTTAATAACCCCGAACCGGATTTACATAAAATTTTATTCTCGCCAAATGAACGAGCAACGACAACGACGAACAACATCAGCAAACAGAGAAAAAGAAGAGAACGAGAGAGAGAGATAGTTCAACAGAACGATTGAATGGAATAAAAAGCAACCGGCAACAAATGCGAAAAGTTTCACATTTATTTTGTCTATTTTTCAACACAGTTCGACTAGTATGCACATTTTTTTTTTGTACTATCCCTCTCACACCCTTGTAACCAAATTGAGAATGCTCTGTCCAATGATTTGCGAAAAAGTTAAAAAGCAATTTTGCAAGCTGTTGGTTTTAACTATTTTGTGAATACTTCTTCGTTGTCGGCGGATCGTCGTGGTACCTTTTTTTTGCTCTATCGCTTCGCCTATGATTTAACTCTTTTTTTTTTACTCACTTTGTGTATGCTTGTTCTCTATATTTTGATGTAAACTTTACCGATTTTTTTTCCCTCACTGATACTGAGTTTGTATGCCGACGAAATGCATGATGTAGAGAGACAAACATTGAAAATGCCAGCAGCAGCATTGGCAGCAGTACCAACAACAATCACAAATTGAATGCCTGAGAATTAACTGAACCAATTGCGAATGGCATGATGGGAAAGAAGAAAAAAAACCTCCCTGCATAATGATATTTGTATTTGTTTGTATTTGCTTTTCAAACCGCTCGTCTTTTTTCAGCCTTGATTATGTATTTCTTTCTCTTTCGCTCGCTTGCTTGCTGTTATTTGTTTTCGAGCGAAGGTTTAACTTTATTTCGTTCATGCATGTAATCTGTTTGGAATCAGTTGAATCGCTTTTTTTATTTGATAACATTCACTATAGACAGACATGATGAAACGTTGTGTTGCAAAAAAGAGGGAAAAGCAAAAAATTAGCAGCACACTACAAAAATGTGAAATGCATGTCGTTTCAATGAGAAAAAATTATGAAAAGACCAAGTTTTTGGTGTCGTGTTTACCCCCTCTCTCTGCGTTGTTATTTTGTTAAATTCGTTTGGCTTACGTTATGTCGGAAAAGATTGAAAATGTTAAAGGATTTCGTCGCTGAGATTTATTCGTACTTTCGCTCTATTTTATGGCTGTTTTTGCCAGAGAAACGTACCCCAGATTAGTACGACAGGAATGCGTGTCTCCGATTAAGCTTTAGCTTAAATTAGCAAATACTTTCATTTCAACCATTATCCATTACATTATTGGAGCAGAGATGCAAGAAAACACTTTGTATTTCCGGCATGCAATGCCAAATTTTCTACAATTATTCATCTACACTGCATTCTTAATCGGTAGTTTTTTTTTTACCTTCAAATACTGCATACACACTGGATTACGATAGCGCAGTCACATTCAACACACACATTTCAATGTGGGATAACAATAATTACTACTACTTGCAAACAACTCAAATCTTCTTTCAGAGTATTATAAAAGAATTACTGTTTACATATGCACACAGAGCTGTGATATTTTTAAAAATAATTTACCGCAATTTTTGAAACGTGCTCACATTTTGCTTGCATATTATTTTCGGATATGTTGCATGTCACGTTGATTGGTAATTGTAACAGCGAACAAAGCACGAAACATAAGACACTTGCACAGTGCGTGGTGCGCACGCTCATCAACAGAGGGCGTTTCTTTTTGTTTGGTTTGTGCCACAGAACAACTCAAATTTGATAAAATAAAGTTATCCGGAGATGCGTGCTACAAAACAGCTGTACTCCTTTTGATGTCTTTTCATCTACGCGCTTATGTTTACAGTGACTTTAATCTTCTCGTTGGAGCAGTGTTTATTTTGTTTTGAACCGAGACAATTATTATTCATAAAATGTAAGTAAATTCTTCGTCTAATATTTTCACTATTATTTGAACAGTTTATCGGTTAAAAAGAATTCCAAACGTCAAACATATATCATAAAATATACAATATTTGAACATCTTTTATCGTTTAATAGCTGAGTGTATGTTTAATTTATGCTATCTTTACAACTTCTATTCTGCCCATTATCAAGTTGAACACAATTAATTTTTAGATAAAATGCTCGGGAACATCTGTAAACGTTTAAAATTCCAATTAAAAATGATTGGCACTACACTATTTTCGGCTACCAATTAATATTGACATGGTTTCGATTTAACCAAATATAAACATCTCCAACAGAGACTTTTAATGGAATATTCAACGTAAATATGCAATTCATAGTAGCGGGCCGTTCGTTGGGAGTAAATCAATTTACCGATCAATTTATAAATACTGAGAAAAAAAATATCTGATTCGCTCGATATTGAGCTATATTTTTATTATTTTACGTGGAATTTGACGAGGTTGCAATCTTATTTTGAAATCTACAGTTATATAGTGACTTGTTAAAGAGAAAATATTAAATGAGAATTAAAATCGTGTTGTGGTTGCTTTTATTGAGCTTAATTTACGTCCGTATTTGAGGGGACACATTAAATTGTTCGATCATCAAGCCAAAATCTTGGACAGATTGTCGAATGATTATTACAAGCAATAAAACTACAAATTTCCCACAAAAATACAAAGTCACGTCGACAAAACGAAAAACATTTATGAATATTCCACTTTTAAATTGTAAATTACCAAGAATTTCGCGATGACCAATTTCTTTGTTAAATGCAGTATTTACGACAATTCGATTTTATATCAAGCAAGACTGAGCTCTGGTTGAATCGAGAAATGAATCGTTGCGGCGAAAGAGTAGCTCTTATTTTTCTCCAAATAATACTGCAACATAAAGTTTTTTATGAATAGTTTATTTGTTGTATTACAACAAATAAACCGTGTGAAAAAAACTTCATGTTGCAGTATTATTTGAAGAAAAATAAGAGCTACTGTTTCGCCGCAACGATTCAAATATGATATTCTTTTAATGCAAATGTCCTTTTTAAGTAATTAAAACGATTTCTGTTGAAATCGAGAGAGTATTGATTTCAGAAAAATACTATCATTTCATGTAACAAAACTAAATGATTTGTTTCTATGCGTATATAAAAACTTATTTAAAGACAAATTATCAGATAAGATACAGCCAAATAATGAATTTTATAGATCATTTGCCAAGCTACAAATTGAAAATTATTTGGATGATATTTCCTGCGAAATGGTATCAAAGATACTACTTGACTCGTGATTCGTAAGTCATATAACTTATGTGATTGGCATATAGAGAAAAAATCGAAAATTACGTTGCGGCAATGTGCCACAGAGACTGGACCCGGGGCACAAATGTTCTTTAACTCAAACATTAATCACTGCTCAAAGTGCCATTTCACCGCCCTAAATGTAGCCAAATCACTACGGAGAAACTCTTGAAAAAGATAGCCAAACATGTATATCAATATAACAATCATGTGCTCACGAGCTTAAGTGTAAATTCATAACGTTAGAGTCTAACGTTGTTAGACTATAAACAAATAATGATTGCTTATTGTATGATGCTTTATCTCTTGAATAATAACGTTTTTGAGTGATTGAACTGTCAAATGTAGGTAATATGATATCCGCGGAGTTTACTTATTTGACTTTTGTATAACACTCACTGTTTTTTAGAGGCACATAAAAGATGTATTCCAAAATATGATTAAATTCAAAGCAAATATTTGGATCTTGTTTATAGTTTTATTTGAAGCAAATAAAAGGTGTCTTCAATAACACACGACATAAATTGAGAAGGATATAAAAGAATGCGTGTTGTTCATCTGCTTTATTAGTAACTTTTTTAAGTGACGAAGTGATGAAATAAAGTCTCAAAAATGTCTAATATCACTCTACAACAATGTACCACAGAGAGTGTTGGATCCGGAGCACAAATGTTCCTGGCTTTGGTTCAAACATTAATAGCTGCTCAATGTGCCATTTCACCACCCGAAATGTGGCCAAAGGACTACGGAGAAATTGCATTAGAAAAAGGTAGTTTTCGAAATGGGTTATTGAAGACGAGCAATACTTTTATCATTTGATTTATTCCAAGGTTTACAAGAATATGACTTTATTGTTATTGGAGCTGGAAGTAGTGGAGCAATAGCTGCAACTCGTTTAAGTGAAAATCCTGAATGGAAAGTGTTGTTATTGGAAGCAGGTGGTGATCCACCAATTGAATCTGAAGTAAGTAAACTTCTCATCTAATAAATTATTGTTCTCCCGAACTGCAAGCACAACACTATGCACAACGAAAAATGTAATTATGTCAGTAATAAAAAAAATGATGATAATAATACATGTTCTAGATACCTGGAGTGTTTTTATCAATGGCTAAACAAAAATCAATTGACTGGGAGTTTTACAGTAAGGCATCTAACGCTTGCAAATTAAATGGCGCGGCGGGGTGTTATGTGCCAAGAGGTAAATTCATTTTTGCCTCATTTTTTCCGTTTCTTTCTTTGACATTTCCAAAATAAATGTTCAAATCAATCAAAATTCTATAGGCAAAATGCTTGGTGGATCTTCTTCAATAAATTTCATGATTTATAATCGTGGAGTCGAAGATGATTTCACTGAATGGGCTGCACTTGGTAATTCTGGTTGGGATTACGAGAATGTTTTGCCGTATTTTAAAAAATATGAAGGCAATCAAAATGAATCATTTGTCGAATATCAAAATGGGCGCTATCATAGTGCGTCGGGTCCGTTAAAAGTTTCATCCGTAGATGTAAGCGAAGCGAGTGCAGCAATAATCGATGCTTTGATAACAAGTGGCTACGAATATGTTCCTGAGTTGAATGCTGATAAAAAGACAGGCTTTGCATTATATCAAACAACAGCTGCCAATGGGCGTCGATCTAGTACGGCCAATTCGTACTTGTCACCTGCAAAAAATCGCGAAAATTTACATATTATAAAACATGCGTTTGTGGATAAAATACTTTTGAACGACACCAATAATGAAGCCTATGCAGTTGAGTTTACATACAAAGACGAACATAAAATGAAAGCTTTCAGCACAAAAGAAGTAATTTTATCAGCGGGAGCAATTCAAAGTCCACCGCTGCTGATGCGGTCAGGCATTGGACCAAAAGCTCATTTGGAAGAGAGAAATATCACGTGCAACGTTGATTTGCCTGTTGGAAAAAATTACATCGATCATCTATTCATAACGTTGAACTATAAATTGAATGTAAGTAGTTCGACATTGCCGCCAACATTCCAACTTGACAGTTTATACGAGTACGTAATACACAATACGGGACCACTTACTTCGGTACCATTTTTAACCGGACGCGTTGACACAACAAATAGCTCCGATGCACCTGATGTGCAAATTTATTTTGCCAGTGTGCCAAAAGGTGGTTCGTCTCTTCTTGGCGGCTTCTACGTATATTTGCAATTGGAAAAAGTGACCGAAGAAAACACAAAACTCTTACAAGATTATGACATATTGGGCGTAGTCGTTTCATTGAATAAACCAAAATCGCGCGGCCATATTGAACTCGATCAATGTGGCACCTGCAATGAAGGAATAATTAACACAAATTATTTAACTGATCCAAGAGATAGAGCCACAGTATTACGAGCAATTAAGCAATTTTTCAATTTACTCAAAACAGAACCGTTCTTGAAACTTGGAGCTCAGTTTCTCCCAATTTCGATTCCAGAATGTGATGAAATCGACTTTGCCACGGATGAATATTGGGAATGCTATATGAAGGTAATGCATATGTTTTACAATAGCTAAGACGTGGGATAATTATTTTTTTTTAGTATGTCAGTTCAACTGGTTGTCATCAAGTCGGCACTAGTAAGATGGGAATTGATTCAGACGCTGTAGTTGATCCTCGTTGTAGAGTTCATAACGTCAAAGGATTGAGACAAATTGATGCCGGAATGTAAGTTTAAACAGATATCAATGGAATTTAATTCATTTACTACTATTTACAGAATACCGATTCCAATAAATGCAAATACCAATGCCGTTTCGATGATGGTGGGCGAGAAATGTGCTGACATTATTAAACAAGATTATGGAATATTATCATGAATTGAAATTATGACTTGATTTAATCCAAATATCATCTGTACACAAAATGTCTTGACGATTGTATTTTATAATTTTAAGTCAATAAAGAAATAAATTATAATCACTTATTATGATTTTATCGAAGACAAATAATCTTAATCGAACAGTTATATAACGGATTTTTGACATGAATATATCTTTTAACAACTTAATTAAGTTTATTCTTCATTTAGAGAAAAACTTAATTATTAAAGAACAAGTACTCACTGCACTACTTGCTAAGTAGTTTTATACTTTCATTTTCAAACGCATGAATGTGACACTGTAATTGTCAAATATAAGTTTGCAATAACTATATACCGTAGTAGCCTACGAATGTTCCTCAGAGATGACCAAAGTGGAATGCGATGTGAAGAAGAGGAAAAAAATGCAATCAAAATGAATTTTCTCTCATGCATCAATCTTCTAGCATCAAGAAAACTTGTCAAGTGTCAAGTGTTAAGGCCATAGCGAGGAAGTCAATGATTCGAAATGATTAAATTTTGATAACGATGTCTTCTTACTGTTGAAATTAAAGTCTACCAGATTTCGATTTCATTGTTGTTGGAGCTGGCAGTGCCGGAAGTGTAGTTGCAGGTCGGTTAAGTGAAAATTCAGATTGGAGTGTGCTACTAATAGAAGCAAGTGGTGATCCACCAATTGAATCTGAGGTAATGATTCTATTTAATGTCTTGACATGTTAATAGTAAATTTGTAACATCATGATGAGTTTATCCTAATTACATGAGATTGTTTATTCAAATGTTTATTTTTTAAGTTTTTATTATCATAATTGACGTCATTGAAAATCAACTCTGATAATACAAGCGCTTAGCAAAAATATATGCCATATAATTTTATTAAACTGAGAACAGACAATCAAAAAATGTATAAAAGAACACGTCAGTAATTTTTTGGTAAGAGTTGAAAACAAATTGAAAATGTCAAATATCATATTTCAACAATGTGCTCCAGAGAGTGTCGGATCCGGAGCACAAATGTTCCTAAGTTTGGCTCAAACATTGATGGCTTTTCAATTTGCCATTTCACCACCCAAATTATGTCCAAAGAATTATGGAGAAATCGCATTAGAAAAAGGTATTTAACAAATAATAATGATACGTTATAGATATTTTTTTTGATAAAACATTTTCTGTACTCTCCGCAATTATTCAAGGCTTAAAAAAGTACGACTTCATCGTAAATGGAGGGGGACTGCTGGTAGCGTGATAGCTGCCTGATTACGTGAAAATCCTGACTGGAATGTGTTACTATTAGAAGCAGGTGGTAATTATATAGCAGCGAAAAATATTCAGACAATTTATTGTTATAACAATAACTTTTATTGTTTTAGCCCATTGTTTTAGCTAACGTACTGTCAGCTCAGATGACCAGTTAGTTCAATATCATTGCTATACTAGACGCCGACGAATAAACATCTCTCAGTTAAAAATGACCTCAAACGTATTTGTTCAATAGGTCCAAGAGATAACAGACCTTAAACGCAAAGATGAAGAAGAATTTAAAAATTTGAAAGAAAAAATTACTAGAATGGAGAATGAAATAAAGGAACAAAATGAAAAAAATTAACACTCAAAATGGAACAATTGACACTTTGCAAACAGAAATGACTAATTTGCAGGCAGCCGTGCAAGGTTTATTGGTTATGTACAACGTATGTACAGATAATGTGCCGCCGGTCATATTTGCATCAGATCAAAATCGAATGATACCAACGGCAATAGAATTATGTGTTTTCTTCGAATGAATGCAGACATGCTGGGAAGCGATCCCTAACCCAAGAATTTCAAACCGTTTTTCAGATCTGAGTCTCCAGCCACCAGCCCAAATAAAATTAAAAACTGCATTCAACCAAAAAATAATGTACATGGAACAACGACGACAGAAGTTTACCGTGCAGAAACAATTTGCAACTGAAATTGTCTGAAAATATTTCTTGATTCGGCCTTGCAAGCTGGCCACGAAATTCTTGATGACATAAATGCTGATAAAAGTTGGTGTTATTTGGAAATGCAATCCACTTCTTTCAACGGTCGTCGCCAGAGCTCGGCGAAAGCATTTTTACTTCCTGCAATGAATCGAACCAATTTGCATGTGATCAAACAATGAAGCATACACACAAATGACAACTAACCCAAATATGAACAAAAATTGACATAAAACTCAATTTATCCGAAGTCTCAACCGCTCAAATGCCAAAGTGATATATAAGCATTTAAATATTTGAGCGGAAAAAATCTGAACTAAAATTTATCCCAAAAACGGTTGAGACTTCGGATAAATTGAGTTTTATGTCAATTTTTGTTCATATTGAGTTTAGTTGTCATTTGTGTGTATGGCGTTGAGTTTATTTATAACGAAACACACGAAATGAAAGCTATTGCCTGAAAGGAGGTCATTCTGCCTGCTTCGACTTTTATGAGTCCTGTAATACTCATACGATCTGGAATTGGTCCGAAAGATGTTCTGGACAGATTTAATATTTCGGTAAAAAGCGATCTTTCAGTTGGAAAGAATTTTATTGATCATCAAGCTATATATGTTTGGTTCAAATTCAATCCAACTCAAGAATCACCATTCCAACAATATGACGATCTTTTCAATCTGGCCATGCATAATAGAGAGTTGACTTCCAGAGGTGTGTCAACAATGAATGAAGTCATATTTTTCTACTATACTCAAAATTCAACTGGTTTAAAAGGTTACGTTAAAGGATACAAAGAGAGTATTGGGCAAGCATTACTTAAAGCGAACGAGAAACACGACGTTGTTGCAATTCTCCTATCTCAATTAAAACCGAAATCGAAAGGATATATTACGATATCGAATAAATCATCGAGTGACCTTGGTCACTGACCCAGTCATCATGTCTGAATTCTTTAGCAATAAACTAGATGTTGAAGCAGCAGTTCAAGCAGTAAAGAAACAGTTTTCATTCATAAATACACCTTCATATCAAGAAAATGGAGCCAAATTTATGCATATTCCATTAGAAGAGTGTGATCGTTTCGATTTCCAATCGGATGACTATTTTCGATGCTACATCAAATATTTTGGGGCCGGCAACAGCACTCATCCAGTCGGAACATCAAAAATGGGACCACACTCAGATCCAGATGCTGTTGTTGATCCACACTTAAAGGTCCGAAATATTAGGGGCTTGAGACAAGTAGATGCGGGCATGTAAGTTTGCTTATTTAATTATCAAAATGTCGAATTCGTAATATGATGACAAACATTTTTCGTTTATAGTTTTCCAACTTCCTTGTATGGGAACACAAATGCAGCTGTTGTAATGGTAGCAGAGAAAGTATCCGATATGATAAAGTTAGACTATGGGTACATCGAAACCGGTACCACAATCAATGCCAACCAAAAAATTTCGTACAGTATTTTACACATCTTGTAGACATGGTTAGAGTATTCATTGAGCATTTTTTTTAATGTGACAAAATTTTGAGTGAATGAAATGTGAATTTATCTAAATGAATGTTGGCTGAATTAAATTGCCCTTTACAAATATTTGAAACAAGTCAGAAAATTCGATACACAATAAAAAATGTTTTTTACAATGATATTACAATAAAAACTGTTTTTTTTTCTTTGAATTTTTTTATTACATCTGCATTTCGTATCATTATTTCAACATAATGAAATCGTTTATAGATTTATCGTTTTGTTTTTTTCGTACCTTCTTAAGTTCTTAAGTAGTTTCCTAGACTCATTAAGAATATCGAAAATATCCGACTTTGCATAATTGAGTATAATCAAGAAAATTGAATCATTTTGAAGCTGGACACATTCAATAAAATCAACATGTTCTTAATATTGTCATTTGATGGGAAAAAAATGTATTTATGTCCACAAAATCGTTCTGACTGAAATAAGCTAGGTTTTTTGTAGCCCGGAATTCCACTTGGGTCTTTTTAAAGCGTTTAAACAAGACATTGTTTACATTATTCTTTAATATATATAGTATTTCAACACAAATGAATGCTTCGGAATGCTTAGTTATAATCTCGTCGAGCTAACAATAAAAGATATTTAAACTTTCTTATCAATTTTTGCTTTGCTACACAAGCTTCAAAATTCCCGAGCGAATTATGGTTTATTTCATGAATAAATTGTACGTAGACACAAATCATTTGCTAATGCTATCAGGTATCGGGCCAAAGAATCATTTAAAAAAAATTTGGTATACCAGTAAAAAGTGATTTGGCCGTTGGAGACAATTAAATTGATCAACCTTCTGTGTTCATTTGGTTCAAGTTCAATCCGACAATGAACCCTCCTACAACTGTATTTGATAGATTCTTTCAATATGCGACATTCACAAATAGTTCATTGGCTTCGATAAGAGTGACTCAGTTGACCGGCTTTATAAGTTCACTCAATGACAGCGACGTATCCGATTTTCAAATAAACTTTTTCCATTTTACGGCAAACTCAACAGAAAATTTACAAAGCTTCATCAATAATCTCAATTACAATGAAAAATTAAAACAAATTTTATTGGCTGAAAATAAAAATCATGATATTGGTGTCGTTGTTCCAGTTCAATTACATGAAAATTCACGTGGTACTTTTGAGCTAGCAAGTGACTCGCCGAATGATTATCCAATTATTAAACCAAATTTTTTCAGTCGAATAGAAGACATGGAAGCCATGGTGCGAGTAGTGAAATTGCAAATTTAATATCTAAATACAACGTCATATCGAAATAATGGCGGCAAATTGCTTGATTTACCAATTCCGAAATGTGATAGCCGTGAACGTGGTACAAATGAATATTATATCGGTGTTACATTCGATATTTCTCAAGTTCATGGAATAATCCTGCTGGTACGTGCAAAATGGGAAACGATGAGGATGGCGTCGTCGACCATGAACTGAAAATTCACAACATTAACAATTTGAGAGTGATTGACGCTTCAATGTGAGTTTTATAACAAAAACTATTTCATATAAGCGATACATTTCAAAAACAAACATTGTCGACATTGTCTGATTCGATTAAATTATGTATTTGAACTATCGTTTTCAGTATGCCAACCACGTTATCCGGAAACACAAATGCAGCAACTCTAATGATTGCCGAAAAAGGCGCTGCCAACATCAAACTTTATCATTCACAATCTTCAAATAATCCATCATTTTGCACATTGTGGAAGCGTGTGCTGTTTGGTCATTGTTAGTGAAGCAACCCACACTAAAGAGCTTGATTGCCGATGAGTAATTGTTACTTTTTTTTTATCAGAGTAACCAATATTTTTGAGGTTCATTTGTATGAAAATAACTCGGAAAATAAGTAGTAAGAGCCGGCCATGTGACAATCAAACGTGTCTATTTTTTATAAACAAAAATTGTCATTTGACAGATGAATGACGGTTCCGTAACAATTTTAAAAATAACAAATGCCATTAACTGTCAGGAGAGCATTCATAGCATTCTTCTTTTAAATCGAAATGTGTTTTAAATAAAAATTATCGATCAACAGTGAATCATATTTTTATACCGACCGACAAATATTTCACGAGAATAAAAAAGAGACAGCAGTTCTTACAATCTTTCTAAAGTGTATGTAAAATTAAAATGATTCAAAAAATCGAAAATCATTCAAATTTCATGCAAGAAGTATGAATTTCAGTCCAAACATAGAGAGAAAGAGAATTCACGGTAAATGCCCTTCAACTCACAGCAAATGTAAAATTCCGCTACTTTTTTTTTCTCTGCACTAAACGTTATTGTGACTTTGTGATCTGATGGCTTAATCGCTGGTTTTTTTTATTGTTGTTGTCGCTCTCTCGTTTCACCACCGCATTTACAATGAAACCAAAATGTTACAATCATTGACTCAATTGACATTCGAACGAGATTTGTTGTGCGAATGTCAAGCAGCGTGTAGGTTGTTTGAGAAAAAAAAAATTACAGTTTTGGGTTTCACACTCAATGCGGTGAGTTAGTGTATATGGTTTGTGTAATTGCACCTGTGCGCCAACAACTTATTAGACACAACGTCACCTTCTACTGAACATGTCACAGATTTTGAGCTACGCTTTAACGTTTCGTGGGTCTTCAAAAGTCAATGGAATTAAGAAGCAAATAAGTAAGATTCGATGGTGTCACGTTACGCGATCTCATTTAAACGCTTTTTTTGCAATCAATATTAATACATTTGAAATTCGCGTGCGCTAAGTTGTTATTTTTTTTCTGTTCGTTTAATTCTCTGTTGTTTTGAATTAAAACCGAATTTAAAGATTTTGCCAGAGTAAGACTTTGTTAATGCAATTATCGTGAAAATCTCGTGCAATTAAATGTGAATGCAAACCGTCTCGAGAACGCAATGTGTTTTTTTGTTATTTATCGAACCTGACATTTTGTTCGTATCGAATCGCGTTATTTTTAACCAAAAATTGCGCAATAAATAACACTGTGTGTCACTTCTAATTGAAAACGCTACGAAACACTCACACACACATACACTCTGGTTGCAAACTATAATTTGACTTGTTCGAAGTAAGAATGCAATGCGACCGCAATTTCGAAGATTAACTGCCAATAAATGACACGAATGCGGAGGCCCAAGTATAACGACCATTTAGAAAAAAATTAGAACGTTGCAAATACCAAACAACATACAAATCGAACTCGTTATTGTCTTCCAATTTGGCAAAGCATCTAATTTGAAAACTTTCTCAACCATAAAATAATCTTTGCATTTAGAATTTCAGATATTGCCAAAAACAGTAGCCGAAAGTCGATAAAAAATGGTAGATCAAGCATGGAATTTTCAAAATTCAACTTTTTAATGGACATAAACGTATCGAATTGTGAAATGTTCGTCAAAACAAGCGTTGATTCATCCAAATATGGAGACCAATTTACAACCAAATCACACGATATTCAAATGAGATTGTTGAACTTTTTAAATGTTCTTAAACGTTGTGAAGAAGAAGATGGGTCAAAAGAGGAAAGAAGGTAGCGCCAAAGTAAAACATCTGATAAAATTGCAATATGTATTTTGTTTTGGCTCAAGTCATGATACGGAGATTCTTCTCTTTTTTGCATATATATTTTGACTGGAATCTGGTGTTTCCGCAACAAAATCACAAATCTTTTTCTCAAAAATTACGTATGCTGATTCACGTGAATTTATTTGGGTTCATTTTATTTAAATTTATTCGATTTTTATTGTGAAATTCTCATTTTATCCGACGCAAAATTGCGAATAAAATCAGCCGCACGCAAATGAGGCACAGCTGTGAGAGAAAAAAACCAGTTCGAGTCTTTGTTGTAGCTGTCGAATGAATAGAGTGAAGAAAGAGTAAGATACTTGGAAACAGGCTCTTATTCATCACTTTGTATAGAAACACTTAGTCATGTCATGATATGAATATATTCAGATTGGAGTAAAAATAAAGTGACTTATAAGCGAACTTTTGTTTCATTATCTTTGGGCATCGGCGATCATTTCATTTTCACTGCACAATCAATAGCACACTGTTTACTGAACACTCACACACAAACACACAGAGACAAAGACCGACATCGATCGCGTTCTAAACCTATGGCTATACCGCAAACAATCAATTCTTGTTGATTGTGCCTTTCTAAGCTGACAATTGGGTTTGATGAATTGCGTTATGTGTTCATGAATACAAAAGTAAGTATTTTCATTGTAAGGGCTTCGGTCATTGAATGCGAACCGATAAAGTTCCACTTTCTTTTTCGTTTTCTACTCTTCTCTAATTTGTGTGTTGGGCGTTTGCTGAAATGCGATTTTGAAACGTGTATGCAATCTAAGGCTAACATAAATAGTTTTCTATGAAATAATCTGCAGAGCACATGGCTTCTGTTCCAAATGGAAATAATTATAAAATCGATTTGAAATGAATTCTTGGCCAGCGGCAACGGATTACCATTAAAGCAATATTGTTTTGCATTCTGCCTGTTGATGATGTTTACATTCAACGATATGATGAACAGTTCGATAAACAAATGCGATTTTGTAAGAATCATTTCGATTTCGGTTGTATTACAATTTTCCGTAAAATAATTCAAGGAAATCAATTGAGCAAACACACAAAATGACCATCAATCTGTCGATAAAATCTATCTCGCATGTGATGTGGATGAAATGGAATGCCGAAGTTTAAATTGGAATTTAAACTGAATGTAAATGAAATTCGCATTTTGATGTTCATTTTCTTTGATTTTACGATGCTCGTATTTATTTAAGACGATTCATTCGCAGCTCATTGCAGATTGGCTCGCAACATACATACAAAAGGACGTTTTCATTTGAAAATGACGAAGAACTAGACTAAAGATGCGATAAATGCAATATAATTGTACATTGCACAATACACTTAATGTACATTATGCGCTGCATGAGGAATTTTCATTTGAAATCCTCAAATTCTATTTTAAATCGATTTCGAACCGTTCAACACCGATGTGAGAAATGATTTCAATTGAAAATCGAGCTGTGAATAAACTCACTGCTTCGCCGAAAGTTAAAATAATAATATATTAGACTCGTGTGGTTCATTTTAAATTTCGAAAGAAATAGGTACGATCATAGAGCCATACACACACATACACTGATATATAAATATCGAACCAGATTTTTACTTAACATAACACGAACAATTCAACACAGGCACACGTCTATTCGTTGTTCATTTTGTGCACCGGTTTGGTTTCATCACTTCGCACTCGAATGTTTCTTTTTTTATGATTATTTTTCGTGTTCAGCTGCTGCTGTCGCTGTTGTTGTTGGTGGTGCTGCTGCTGCTGCTTAGTTTGCGGCAGTGAAATATGTTGGTATTAGCTCTATGCTATGTGTATGTTAATGCTTTGCCGAAGCTTCGAAGCATTCGCGATACATATAAGAGTCGGTTGATCGCGAAACATTTATTTGTATGTATTGAGGCACATGCATATGAATACCATGTTGATGTTTGATGATGGGATCGTTGTTGTGTGGTTTCTTCAAAACTGTGCTTTTTCGTGCTCTGGCCACGATTCCTACACTCGATTTGAATCAGTCTTCAAGTTTGCATTTGATAGATAGCCACGCATTTCAAACACAACTCAGTTGGAGAAATCTCTTCTTTTCGAATTCATTCAACGCAACGTTTGAAATAAAAAGAAATAAACTAAAATATAAAAAAACCAATTTTAAAAGCATTAATAAAAGAATGTGAAAACAGAGAATTTATAACCGAAATAAAGTCAATAAAGTTATCAACTTAATACTTACGGTGCTGTATGCTATCGAAAAGTTAATATTCGAATCGGTAGCCGAACATAAACAACGCGATCTGCATAATCAGAAATCGAATTAAGACATAAATCTCAATTTCTTCGTCTTTTACTTCTTTTCGATTTTCATTTATATTTATTCCGGTTCGCTAAGCGCGTTCAGAATTGTGCGTGTGTTTCGTTATACATTTGTGTTGAAATTGCATCAAATCCATTTCACTGATCAAAAAATCAATGGTGAAATTGATTGTTGAACCACACGAACGCATCATAAATCATTGATTCCAATCAGAAAGTGGCGAGGCACAATATCTTCACGAAAAAAAGCAAAAATTATTTCATCTCGGCTACTCTGTTTTTTTTTTTTTTGACAATTCAATTGGTTTTCTATTTTGCCATCGTTTCTTTCGATCAACGTGCGCTAGCTTCAAAATCAGTTCATGTGTGCAAAAAAGTGTATCAAGATTACTAGTTGAAAGAGAAAACAACCATATATGCGTTTCAATTGCTGATTAAAGAAATTGGAGCGTTTGCTATGTGCATTGCGTATGTGTGACATAAATAGTGTTGCAAAGCAGAAGAAAAAAAACCAGCAAAGTAACCCATAATAAAAAATTTCTTCTCATTTCGCTGGCGAAACGAATGCGAAAAATAAGGCAAAAAAGAAGTAAAACCAGCCCACGGACAGCGATAGAGAGTGAGAAAGAAATGAGCCCATGCAAGGAAATCACTAAATGTACAGAAGAATAAGAAACATAAGAACAGCTCAACAGCAGCGACAGCAACAACACCGCCACCATCAACAGCAGCAAGTAACAACAATAAAAAAGTGAAATTTTCACATTTGTCTGTTATTAGCTGCCAAAACAGTAAATTACCGTAATAAAGATTGAACATCGACACAAAGCTCGGAAGAGAGAAAGAGAGAAACATCGGCTGAGACAATAATCGTAATACCGCACCGTTACCCTTGCCATGCGTATAAAAATAATCGAAAATTTGTTACTCGCAGCGTTGATTTTTGTTTCGTAATTACAACATTTTTCTATCTGCATTTTGTTCCTCGTTTGGTTTTTCATTTGATTCGGTTTATAGTACGTTAATTGCAAACCGAACAGAATACAGAGCAATCGAGATTGACTAAAAAGCGAGAGAGAAAACAACTTTATTGCTATTACGCGAAATCAAAAGCCCTGCAAAAAACATTAAACAACTAACAAAAGAAATTCATTGGCACGGAAGAGTGAGTGAATGAGTGACAAAAACAAACACATTGTCGAATTAAAATAAATTATAACAAAGGCGAAAAAAACCGTATAGACAAGCGCTTCAACCGAATAGTAGCTGTATACATTCAGTAGACGACAGCAACAACAATAATAATTCATCCCGTACACGCAATCTGCCATTCATTTATTAATTCACCGCACTTTTTGACGACAAAGAAGCTGAAATTACGCAAATAAAATGTTACAAGTGCAAGTAAGTTTTGTTTTGCTTTCTGTTTTTTCCGTATACTTGTTTTAGTTTTATTTTCTGTCATTCGAGCGCGATCTTTTCATTTTCATTACGTTTTAATTTTTCCAAAAATAAAAGACCATTGTTAATTTTCAACATGCTCGATTTCGTGATTGCATTGTCACATCGCATAACATCGATCACAATATTATTTTCTTTTTCGTTATTTCGTTTATTACACATCATAAATTATTATATAGATTAAGTTGGTTTCTTTTTTTTCTTACTCTCTCCACACATTTTTGCTGTGGAAAGTTCGTGGCGGTTGTTTTTCTGGCGAAACATAATATAATTAAGAATTAAGTTTTTCTCAATTCAAAACGTCAATTCGTGATTGATGACTGAAAACGTTAATGCATTGCCACCATTCGTGTTTGGGATGGTTGTATGCGCGTCTTTAGAATTAACTGCCATTCAAAACGTGAGCTTTCCCTTCATTGCTCCAAGTTTTGGGTGATTAAATAAAGTCGTTAATTTGATAGATATTGTTTTTGGGCACGAACACTAAACTTGACAATATTTATTGGAAAATAAACAAAGAAAACTCAAATGAGAAATGGATGGGTAAAGCCTAGCATTCGGCCTCGGACAAAAGTAGTGTCAATTGGAAAATTTTCACTAAATGCATATATGTGAGGTCCACATATGATAGCGGCAACATATAAGCACTGAGTGCATAAAGATAAAAGCTACAAGATGAAGAATTGGATCTAAAAGAAAGCAAATGGTATTAAAGCGAAGACTTAAGAAAAAAAGACTAGTATTTCTAAATCAAGGTTTTAGCCGTCAAGTGCGCCAACCAGATCACACATTTCTCGCTTCGTTCGCTGACTCACTTTCAAAGGCACACAAATCAAATAGCCATAGAGCAGAAGAAGTTTTAAACCAATGAAAATTGTGCGCTTTTTTCTTTCATTGGATTTTGTTTCATTATTGGATCGATTCATTTTTTTTCTCTTCTTTTCTGTTTCATTGTTCCTTCGTGAATATTGAGCCTTTGAAAATGGATACGCATACGAGCTCAATAATATGTAGCAATTGCGAAGCTACTGTGCAATTGTGCATGTCGCCGCATGTCATCGTGTTCAGGTAATATACGAATTGTGGCGCTTTTGCTGGGCTCGTTTTACACGTGATGGTAGGCTGCCATTTGAAACTATACGCTTTTTGCGTAAGTGTGTCTAACGCTTGCCAGCGCGCGACATGAAAACACAATTAAATGGCAATTATCCACATTTTTTTTCTCTCTACTCGCTGTAGCTGATTCGTCTTCTTTGTTCATCACTTGTACGATTCACACTACTCATTGTTGGCGCTCACTCATTTTATTTTTAAACGGGATTTTTTTTGTTAGGTGCATCTCGTTCTCTTGAATTGATTCGACGTTGAAATGTCGATAAAATTTCGATAAAGTGAAACGAGTAATTCGATTGTGACATTTAATTTTCACGTACAATGAATTCGATGCGATGAGATCCGTTCGTTTGATTGGTGAATTTCTAAATTGATCACAACGTTTTCAATGTTTTGATGAAGTGACAGTGATTTTCGATTTTTTTCTTTTTCTTCTTCATGTTCTGCAAATGTTGCTCAATTATACACCCATAAAGCGAATGAATCGAGACGAAAACGATTAGACGAAGAAAGCGGTGGTTAATAATAAACTTTGAATGAAAAAAAAGCAGCCGAATATTACCATTGAATGAACAAAACAATGCGCAAATCACATTCGCAAGAAATTTATTTGGGATTTGCATTTCAATTGATCGGTTGATGATTTTCAGCAAAATATGTGGGATAATCACGGCCGACACCAATCAAAAAATCTCACTTCTCGCACATTATTGATTGACACTTGCGGATATCCATTCTGATTTATTATTTATGATATTTGTCACAGATGTTCATTGAATTCTTTCAATTTGAAAAAAAAAATTGCGATATTCGTTCATTGTGCTATATTTATTCGATTGAATACCCCACATTTTAAGAGTTAGTCAAGCGAACCATTTTTCTAACTAAACCATCGCAAATTTCACCGTACTGGAATTAGTCAGCACTCTTTGTTTCTGCTGAACTAGAGAGAGAGAGAAAGAGAGAAAATTATTCACATGTTATTTAAAATGCTATTTTTTGGCAGTTGCTTTTATAATACATGAACTGAAGTTTAAAAAAAATGATTTAGTTCATTCTTCGATTTCAATCGGAGGAAGTAGCTTTCAGTTAGTTAGCATTTTCATGTCGTAATTACAATTTAATTGTAAAGAGAAATGGAAATAAAATTACGCGTTTTTGGCCTGAAAATGAAATGTTGCAAGTCTATTGTCCAATGTTTGGTAGTTTGAAAAGTGTTTGTGTGTGCGTACGTTACGCGCGCGCTTGTGCTCGTACACATTTTGATGAAACAATTTCGTCAGCAATTTAACGGTACGCACAATTACGACTGAATCATTCGGTTTTGTTTCATTTAGTGGCATTGATATTGCATAAACGCATGACTCAAACAAATCTTCGAAATGTATTTCTTGTTCGAAATGAGAAAACACTCGAGCCACTCCTGCATTATTTTATATTATTATTGGTCCAGCAAAAAAGCATGCCATTAGACAAACAACTAATGGGCTTGTGAAACATGACTTATTTCGATTGAAGAAAACAAATCTTATGGCGGCATTAGAAAGAAATGGAGATTTTACCGGTTCGCATTGCAGTCGACACGTAAATACATATATGCTGAACGACGGTTCAGACAGACACACGAAATATGAAAGTTATTGATCGATAACAACAAGTACAACTAGTAAACAAGGTTGGATAAATGGGGCAAAATGCAAAAAAAAAAATAAAGTTTACAAAATAAAAACATAAATAAACATACATATATCTATCCATTTTACAATACGAAACAGTTTGAGAATCGAATTGAACACGTAAAATGAAACACACATGAAATGAACAGAGAAGAAAGAAAGAAAGAAAAAAAATCCACCGCAACGAGTTCAAAACAAAAGTACATGGCATGGTAGTAGCAGTAAAAACAACGGCCAATCCAAATGACTAATTTTGTTCTGAACGTGTTTGGTTTTATTTTATTGGAACGTGTACAGCGAAGAGTGTACACTGTGCATTCAAAAGTTTCATGCAAATTTCTTGCGATGTCTGAATCACTTATTTCGTCGTACGCCAAAACGAACACACGAATCAACTCAAGATCTCAAGAAAAAGAAAATTATTAAGTTTTAAGTAGAATTTATTGCAAACGTGTACGCAAATGAACGAAATCTGTTTTAAGTCATTTCGGCGACAGTACACAACGGCCACAAGACAACTGTAAAAAGAAAAAAATAATTCAGTAACGAGCCGGGAATATATATATTTTCCGTAATGAGGTTAAGTGCAACTAAGAAATACTTCTTAGTTCTGCTTATTTGTTCTCTTCCCTCCCTTCCTTTCTCTCGTTCATAGCTAAAATCGTATAAAGCCATTAAAACGTGATTTTTTGATTCGCACTGTTTATTACTACTGACCAACCGGGTCAATTTCGTTTAATATACGTTAATTTTCGGAAATTTAGTGTATTTAATTTATGTTTCATATTTTTTTTTTTTTTTGAAAAATTAATGAATTATGTTCATCTTTGATGCGGCGATCGAATCATGTTCAAGTCATGCAAGATGAAAACGACAACGTAAATACAAACGTTTTTTTTTCTTCACACTAATTGCAACGACACGAATGAATATGAATGGTGTTTTTTTTATTTATATGTGTCCCATTTCTTCTGTTCAAGACCTATACGTGTTTGTTTTTGTCTTTTTGTTGGTGATTTTGCTTGGCTTGCATTCAGTTGCCCTGAATTTCTGCGAATATTCAGTGTGTGGACCCCAATTGTGTCACTCGCGATTTTATTTTCTTTTTCTTCTTCGCACACAGAACATTAATCGAATTACGACGCGAATGAAAGTTGAATTTGAAAATGACATTTGAAGTAACCAGAAATAAACACATGATCTTATATGCTAGTATGTATGGTTTTTGTTGTACAATTCAGAGAATATGAACGGCTGTGCGTGTTCGAATGAAGAAGAAGCGTTTCGTAGGAAAAGCGCTTCAATGACCTCATAAAAATTCAGATTAAATCCAAAAATAAAACACTAGGCCCATTGACAATGATTGAGAATGATGTGCGATTTACAATATAAAACATCTATATCATGTCAGAACATGTGCAGTCACAGCTACGCAATGCTCGATGTGTGAACGATTCCAGAGAATAACTGTGCCAAAACAAACAGAAAAAATAAATAAATATATAAATAAAAAAAAACGAATATTTATCACCTCTAAATCTTCCGGTATCGTAGAAAGCGATTAATATTGCACATTTTTTTGTTGTGTTTTTGTTTTCACTCGTTTTGTTTCTTTGAATTTCGGATGACAACTTTCGTTTTTTCGACGACGAACTTTTTTTTCGGCTTCAGCGATTCATTTTAATTATATATATACTTTATTTTTCCTTGGGAAAAATAAAACAGAAAAATATGGAAAGAGAATCGAAACGACGAAAATCGAGAAAGAAAATATGAGCAGGCTTATCCATTGTTTACGCACCTATTAATCTATTCCGTATGTTTGTTGTTCTGTTTCTCGCATCGTGTCGTTTCTTTTTTTCTCGTGACAAATTGACTGCATGTCTGGAAACTTTTCACGGCATGAAATGAAATCACACGTGGATTATCATTTCTTTACGGTGTATCTGACGAAAAAAAATACAGAATATGAGGAAATATTACATAAAATGTGATTGCTTCATGCGGTGATTTGAGCTGTGCAAAGACATGACACGTATGCGTCAATAGCTTGTGTGTCTTTGCTTGCTTTTGGTTTTCGCTGTTTTTTTTTTGTTGTGGCTTTTTGGCCGCAAAAAGACACACATGCTTGCAAAAAATTTCTTGAACATCAGA